GAAGGAAGTACTGTGGATTCCATAATACTATATAAAACATCCATAAACCATATCCAACTATGAACCGCGTTTGTTTCCAAAGTAGGGGGCATATCCAACAAATCACGTTGGATAGTTCGTTTTGGTTTTGTGGATCCCACCTTTTTTCGTGGGTCGAGGATGTCAGGTTTGGGATTTCTTCCAATATAACAAGGAGCTTCCACCGCTGTTGTGTGCTCCAATAGTTCGCTGAGATGGGAAACTCATGGAAACTCCTAACGTTTGAAATTCCTAAGATATAACTGGTTGGTGGTTTGGAATTTTATGGGAAAACCATGGGAAAATGGTGATTTACATAGTAATTCTGTCTGGTTGGTGGTTTGGAACCATGGACTTTTATGACTTTCCCATCATATTGGGAATTTCATCATCCCAACTGACGATTCGTCCATCATTTTTCAGAGGGGTAGGGCTCAACCACCAACCAGTCATGGGACAGATGCAAGTTGTTGTGTTTTTTTCCTTCCCCTCAGGCCGTCTCGGGTGTTGTGACTTTGATCAACGAGGCGATGGCTCGGTCGGTGGTCAGTTCCCCAAGTGACCATAGGTTTCAATAGAAAAAATCGCCTGACTTTGGATGATTTGGGGATAACCCAATTTTTGGAAACCTCCATATCTATTGGATGAATTTCATTGGGGGAGGTACCTTCTGGTAAACTAACATAACTATGGAAAATCACAACTTTTTAATGGGTAAATCCACTATAAATGGCAATTTTCAATAGCTATGTTAGTTTACCAGAGGGTACTCTAGATGTGAATGATCACTTGGACTTTCAAAATCCTTGAAATTGATATTTTCACAACCTGGAAACAGACATAAGCTACCAAAAATGGAGATAGCAAGCAGTAAAACTGGGCATGCCACTGTTGTTAGTAGATGTTTATAGTTTATAGAGATTAATAGAGATGGTTTAGCGGGAACAACTCAACATGGGCTTATTTCCCATTTGAGCATTGGTTATCTGCATCTACCAAAAATATCCAAAAGAGTGATATGATCAACCACTTGAAAATTGCCTAGACTAAATACTTTGCTACTCAAGTAGCTGCTACTCGAGATACCCTTCAGAAAATTCAATTTTCTGCTGGTTGGTCAATTTTCCATTTACGTCAAAAACATGAGCCAGAAATTTAGGAAACCAAAGCTTTCCTAAGCCACAAATCCCTGAAAGTTGATTTGTTTTAATACCCCAAAGTAGTGACAATTCCCAATTCATCCAGGGTAATGCATAGGTCGGCTGCAAATGCCTCAGCCAAACTGTTTGGGCCTTTTTGGGGTTCCCAAAGGCCCTAAGGTTGACCCCCGAAATAATGAAGCTGGGGAAACAGACTAGTTGGTGAATTTTGGTTGGATGTACCCTGGTTTCACAATCAAAACATGTGTATTTTTTTGGACAGAAGAATTCGGATTTGGTCACCAAAGAAGCTTGGGTATAGTTTAAGATGCGACTTGCTTGCCATAATTTTGGGGAATGTAGTACTCAAATACATTCTAATTTTCCTCAAGAGTCTCTAAGATTGGCCATGGAGATGGAGGGACTTGTTGTGACTGACAGGGGCAGCTTGATCTAAACACCAAAATGGTTGGTATCTAAGTGGATTGGTCAGGGCAACTCAGCGCTACTGTAAGATGTACGGTGTGTTTGGAAATACGCGTTTCTCTTTTAAACATATATTTAGTTTGTTTTGTTTTGTTTGTTCAAATGATGATAAAATGAAGCATATTATTTATGATATATATATATACACATCTGTTGTATAATATATATATATACATGTTGTGTATATATATATACATTATATACTGTACATATATATATATTATATGTTACTCCCCCTCCTTTTACCGTAGCGCCAAGAAAAAATATTCTTTTTCTTCCACGTTAACTAAAGTGACGATTCGGAGGTTTACTTCCATGTTAGTTGCAATGGGGGGGTAAACTGCAAATTTGTGCTCTTTGGATCTGAGCCCTTTTTTTTGGGCTCTTTTTGCCACGAGTTCCCCGGGAATCCTGGGCATTTGTTGATTAACGTAGAAATTTTGAATTTTTCAAGATAAAGCTGGGAATGCCTCCATTTTTTAACAACCAACGATTGGAACGGATAACTTACATAGAAATTTGCTACTTGAAGTAGGATGTGGGCAGTGCCATGTTCGCGAGCGCTCGGTCCTCCTTTTACCGTAGTGCAAAAAAAAATATCTTCCACGTTAACTAAAGTGACAATTCGGAGGTTTACTTCCATGTTAGTTGCAATGGGGGGGTAAACTGCAAATTTGAGTTCTTTGGATCTGAGCCCTTTTTTTTTGGCTAGTTCTTTTTGCCACGGGTGTCCCGGGAATCCTGGGCATTTGTTGATTAACGTAGAAATTTTGATAAATTTTGAATTTTTCAAGATAAAGCTGGGAATGCCTCCATTTTTTAACAACCAACGATTGGAACGGATAACTTACATAGAAATTTGCTACTTGAAGTAGGATGTGGGCAGTGCCATGTTAGCGAGCGCTCGGTCCTCCTTTTACCGCAGTGCAAAAAAAAATCTTCCACGTTAACTAAAGTGACAATTCGGAGGTTTACTTCCATGTTAGTTGCAATGGGGGGGGGGTAAACTGCAAATTTGTGTTCTTTGGATCTGAGCCCTTTTTTTTTGGCTAGTTCTTTTTGCCACGAGTTCCCCGGGAATCCTGGGCATTTGTTGATTAACGTAGAAATTTTGATTTTTTCAAGATAAAGCTGGGAATGCCTCCATTTTTTAACAACCAACGATTGGAACGGATAACTTACATAGAAATTTGCTACTTGAAGTAGGATGTGGGCAGTGCCATGTTAGCGAGCACCAATTTGGCACCATTGATTTCGAAAGGTTGCATCCTCAATCGCTCGGACATGACAGGGGTGAGAAGATAGATGCAAAGAAGAAAAAAATGATGTGGCGGTCAGTCTGGGGGTTTTAGGGATCGCCCTAGAAGGATGTATTCAACATGAGGGGAGAACATGTTAACATAGAAGTTGCCAACCTGATGTCTGGACCCTCAAGTTACTTCCACGTAAGGGTTTTTAGCCTCAGTTTTCACACTTCCATGATGAATATGTTACTGACATATTTGATGAGCTACTTCCATGTAAGAGATTCACGGTCAGTTTTTCTGCATCTGCTGGCCCGGTAGCCCAGTTTCACTTTTTCCCCAGGAATTGGACGTAAACGACTTCCATGTAAACCGACAGGTTTTTCCATCCTGACTTCCACGGTAAAAGGACCCGGTGTATGTATATATATATATGTTATATGTTATGATATATATATATTCACATTATTCATTATTGTATAGTGGTCTCTTTATTTGTACTAGTTGTTTGTAATCAAACCTTTGACTGCTGGAAGAAAAAGCACATAGGAAAATCATGTGCAATTAGTCACTGTACCTATGATTCCCAGTTAGACCACCAGTTCTGTTGGCAAAAATCATGTATTTGTTGATATATCTCAGCCAAAACCTCATGTTGGCTGTGTTTTTTCTCAGATCCTATACCTTGCGATTAAAAAGATCACCACAACCATGTTTGAGGGTCCTTTCACCACAAGCCGATTTTCATCATGATGCTTGAAGCCCCGAAATCCTGAAGGTATTGAACCCAACATCATCCCAAAGTCGGAAGATAGATTTATACATCTGCAGCACGATTTCCGGAAACAACAAAACTGTGGAAACGGATTCATTGAAACCTGTCAATGGATTGGTGGGAAAATCGTAACCTGAAACCATATTTTTTCCCATCAAATATATGGGTTTTCTGCCATTTTTCCATTAAACCAATCCATTGATACTTGATGACTGGAAGACTTTGGACATTTGAGACATGTCAGGTCATCTTGAAGGAACTCTTGAAACAGCCACGCCCCTATGGTTCCGCCAACCGAAAGCAGGGCAGCCCCAGAAGGGCCTTGGACACCGGGACAACCTGGACATGGGAGAAATGTCTTGGATTTCCCAAGTTTGTGGCTGGTTTTTCTACACAGATGTTCGTTTTTTTTTGGGTGGTTATAAATGTTATGAGTCATGAACTTCCTCACTTTCTTCAACTTGATTTGTTCACTTAGCGCGAGTTTCTTCAGGGAGTTTTCTGGGATATGACAGTTTCAAGATTTAGAACCCCCAAATCCCGTGCAAAAAAATAGATAGCAGTTGAGGGAAGCCAAGAATTGGTGATGTTCCACGCTTTCCATGTCATTATATGCGTTGTTCCATTGGAAAGCTTTGCGTTGAACATTGATCATTAGTGATATAGTGATGTTCATATATTAATCACAATTCAATCATGAATGATGGGGTGGATGCTATGATTGCTATGATTTTGGCTCGATGTCAGAATCTGTTTGATGTTGCTGGTTCCATTTTCGTCATTTTCCATCGTTTTCCATCTTGGAATGATCCAAAATTGGTGAAACAAACGCCATCACAGGCCATAAAAAGAATCACTTAGCACTGTGATGGGTGGAATATCATGGGTAAAACTTACTGTTTTTTTTCCATAGTTTGGCATCGAAATGAGTATTCCAACCTTTTGGAATACCACAATGTTTATAGATATGCAAGGATTCAGAGATTTGACTAAGGCCATGCAACTAAAAGTTTGACCACTTCAAGAAATATGGAAAGCCAAACTGCGGCAAAGTTAATATTGGAAGAATTTTGTTCTGTTTGGTGATGGTGGTTTTAAAAGTATGTTTTGTTTCCACCCATTTGCATCTTCATTTGAGAGATGGTGATACTCTCTGGCATTCTGGCTCAAGTCGCTCTCCAATTGACATGTCAGAAAACTCTATCTGACATTGAATTTCCATATTATCACACATTTTCCATGTTCGTACGGCTTGAAATCGCCACTGTTCTGCTGTGGGTTGTTTCTGTCTCGGCTGTGGCTTTGCTGCAGCGACATTTGGAGATCGAAACTCCCCTGATGCGACGTCTGAAAGCTTCGCCCATGTTCTGGCTGCACATCCCAAAGTGCGGCACCAGCTTCGCCAATACAGTAATGCATATGCCGAACATGTGCCCGGGTTTGGGGGAGAATTTGAGTTTCTGGATGAATCTTCATGAAATTGTTTATTTCTGCATTTGGTTTCTAACTTATTTCTAACTACTTCTGCCTGTTCATTGCTGTAGCTAGATGTATGCCGGTATAGTCGGGTATAGTGGGATTCAAAACTCCCCAAAACAAGACCCAGTGGCTGAAGGATGATCCGATATGATCCGATGCTTCCAAGGTATCGATGATGAGCAGTTCGGAAAGTGCTTCGAGCGTACCCTGCAGAAGAACTGCCTGCAGTGGTGTGATCAGAGTCTTATTCATTGTAGTTGGCCAATACAAGCTCATCAGTTTTTGTCAGATGAGAAGTACGAGGAATACAAGGGCAAATTTGTGGCACTTCTACGTCAACCCGAGCAGCGTTTGCTATCTGCCTACACTGATGATGGTGACCTGTTCCGAGCAGAGCCCTATATCGGCATATGTGCTGAAAATCGCACACCTGAACGAATCCTGTCACTGGATGAGTTTAAATCCAAATGGGCTCACTGGGCGACAGGGCAGATCGTCGGCCATCTTCCAGCTACCTTAGCAGATGTCCCAGTGGCGCTGCAAAGATTGAGAGAAGGCTTTGCATTTGTAGGTTTGCAGGAAGAGTGGGACCTGTCTGTATGCCTCTTTCATACCAAATTTGGAGGGCCCTGCCGCAACTTGGAATTTCTGGATACACGGCCGAGTGACAGAGCCACCGGAAACACAAGCGAATACGATACCTCAATACTGGATGGGTGGGTGGATGAAATTGATGGTCCTGTCTATACAGAGGCCCAACGCTTGTTCTATGATGATTTGAAACGGTACGGTGTTTCGCATGAGACTTGCCAAGCATGTTATCAAGAAGCCAATGTGGCATGACATTCGTGGAATCTCTCAACTGTGCCGTGAAAAATACTCAGATGAGTTGGGACAAGTGAAGACACCCGAGCAAGCAAAGCTGTATGAATTCGAATTGACAGCTGGTTTCAAAGCTATGTTTTCTCATACTTGTAGGGTCTGGTTATGCCATTCCAAGTTGCCTCTAATATTGAAGCCAGAGAAATCCAAATGATATATGTAGTTAGTCCACATACCGCCATCAAACATAGATAGATTTAGGCTCGGAAAGTCTGCACAGACTTAAATTCATGTAGATTGGATAGATATAGAATGTACGGATAGATGGATGGACAGATGGATAGACAGGTAGATAGGTTGGCCGCTGATCCAGAGGTCCGCAATGGTACCCCAAAAAGATCCAAAGGTCGTCTATTTGCGGTGAAAGTGGATCCGGTTGCCAACTTCGCCCAGTTTCAAAGTCAGTCATCCAATGAGGATGAAATTTGGGAATGGCAATGGCTCAACGAAAAAAGATTGGACCCGAAGAAATGAATGGGTTTCATTTACTAAGCACAACCAATTCCGTAGGTCCATTGGTACCCCATAAGTTGTTTATTGTTTTTGTGCACCCTTGGGCCATATTCCATCCAATTATTTTGCATGTTAATACATGTTAATACCACCACCATTTATAGCTACTTTCTCTGAATGGGATATGCAGTTATCTACCCAGTTTGGCATCACAGGTTCAACGAAAAGACGAAGAAATGGGAGATGAAGCCGGGAATGCCTTCAGGGCACGTGCTGAATGCCACCACAACTATGGCCCCTTGGCCGCGAAGCGATTGGAAAGGGATGGGGAGCCCCTAAGACGGTTGAGTTGGTGAAACCATGCTTTGGTGATAGATATAGGGTTAGAAGAGGTTATAAACCAACCTACAACTGGGGGCACCACATAGGGTAGATTGGTTGCATCGTCAGTTCCCCTCTATTTTTGCTGGGTCTCTACAGGTCAGATCCACCAAATTTGATGATTTTCCCAGCCGTTCAAGCCTCCATTTGTATTGTCCAGCCATGTTTGAGTACCGGGTAGATCCATTCATATCCTCATGAGCCAACCTGGAACCGCTGAACGCGGCAGGTTTGGTGTTTGCTGGAGGCCGGTTTCTACGGCAATGTTGCTCAGTTGCTGGGATATAGCATGATTCCCTGCAACGTTGCGGATGTTTACATGTAAAAAGACACCTTGTTCAGAATTTGGCAATGTGTTTTACCATGTCTTTACCATGGTTTCACATATGTTTTGATTATGTTTTTTCGTGTGTTGTTGTTTTGTTTTGTCCTATTCACATGACTTCAAATTGACCCATCACATCACATTCCAAGTTTGTAGCATGACCACCCTTTGTGAATCCGAGCTTCGAAATACAGATGTTGGTCTTCAGCATTCAGTCTTTTTCCTGGAAATGTTTTTTTCCCCCCTGTTTGCTCATGCAGAATTGATCTAGGGGAAGATGTACAGGAACCCCACATATCTTCTGGCCAACATTTAGGAATTCCATGGAATTCCAGTCGATTCTCCCTGGAACATCCATCCAGTGATCATGAAACCATCCAGCTTTTGGGGCACTGTCAATGCCCCAAACAGATCAACGGCACCAGGTGTCTTTGCGAGGCCCGGTTTGAATGGAACCAGTCATAGGGACTTTACAACCAAGACTTGGGGAATTTTCGGGGTTTATACAATAGACTCTACGAATCTTGGCTTTGTCCCAAAATGAGGTATCCACCAAATGGCCGTTGAATGGGGTATCCATGAGTGTATGAAGCAATGAAGCATGACACTTTTCAGGACACTCTATGTTCAAAGCAACTTAATTCAGTTGAAGGTTTTGGACCCTCCGAGGTTAGCTGGTTGGTGGCTTAAAATCTCAGATATTCCATGGGCAAATCTGCAATTCATCTGGAAGATTTGGACGGTCCGACGACTTGTTCAGGATTCACCAACTGCACGGATTTGACGAAGTCTACGAAGTTATCATGTTCATTGGGGGAGCAGAACATCCTGCAAGTTTCATCTATGAACTAATGCTACTGAAGGACGGAACAACCTCCAAAACATGCGGCCCCGGGGCTTGACGTCCCTTCTGGATTCTGGAAAAAACAAAGCGATTGCAGCTGCTGGGCCTGCTGCTGCTGCTGCTGGTGCTGCTACTAAAGGTGGTGCTGCAAGCCTCCAAAACGCACCCTTCGCCACACCAAAACACCATGCTACTGAAGGACGAAACGCCCTCCAAATCAATCGCAAGAGCAAGTTCCCTGGAGGCCGGAACGTCCCTTCTGAAATCCTACTAGAAATCCTCTCTTATCCTATCCTGCTATCGTGCTAGAATCCTCTCTTATCCTGCTATCCTACTGCTCCTGCTGCTGCTGCTGGTGCTGCTACTAAAGGTGGTGCTGCAAGCCTCCAAAACGCACCCTTCGCCACACCAAAACACCATGCTACTGAAGGACGAAACGACCTCCAAATCAATCGCAAGAGCAAGTTCCCTGGAGGCCGGAACGTCCCTTCTGAAATCCTACTAGAAATCCTCTCTTATCCTATCCTGCTATCGTGCTAGAATCCTCTCTTATCCTGCTATCCTACTGCTCCTGCTGCTGCTGCTGGTGCTGCTACTAAAGGTGGTGCTGCAAGCCTCCAAAACGCACCCTTCGCCACACCAAAACACCATGCTACTGAAGGACGAAACGACCTCCAAATCAATCGCAAGAGCAAATTCCCTGGAGGCCGGAACGTCCCTTCTGAAATCCTACTAGAAATCCTCTCTTATCCTATCCTGCTATCGTGCTAGAATCCTCTCTTATCCTGCTATCCTACTGCTCCTGCTGCTGCTGCTGGTGCTGCTACTAAAGGTGGTGCTGCAAGCCTCCAAAACGCACCCTTCGCCACACCAAAACACCATGCTACTGAAGGACGAAACGACCTCCAAATCAATCGCAAGAGCAAGTTCCCTGGAGGCCGGAACGTCCCTTCTGAAATCCTACTAGAAATCCTCTCTTATCCTATCCTGCTATCGTGCTAGAATTCTCTCTTATCCTGCTATCCTACTGCTCCTGCTGCTGCTGCTGGTGCTGCTACTAAAGGTGGTGCTGCAAGCCTCCAAAACGCACCCTTCGCCACACCAAAACACCATGCTACTGAAGGACGAAACGACCTCCAAATCAATCGCAAGAGCAAGTTCCCTGGAGGCCGGAACGTCCCTTCTGAAATCCTACTAGAAATCCTCTCTTATCCTATCCTGCTATCGTGCTAGAATCCTCTCTTATCCTGCTATCCTACTGCTCCTGCTGCTGCTGGTGCTGCTACTAAAGGTGGTGCTGCAAGCCTCCAAAACGCACCCTTCGCCACACCAAAACACCATGCTACTGAAGGACGAAACGACCTCCAAATCAATCGCAAGAGCAAGTTCCCTGGAGGCCGGAACGTCCCTTCTGAAATCCTACTAGATATATAGTCCATTATATAGTCCATTATATACCATTATATAGTCCATTATATCCATTATATAGTCCATTATATAGCATTACATACCATTATCAATTAACCATATAATAACCAGTAGGTCAACCACCAACCAGTATCCCATTAATCATTAATATCCCATCATATAGTCCATTATATAGTCCATTATATAGTCCATTATATCCATTATATAGTCCATTATATAGTCCATTATATAGTCCATTATATACCATTATATAGTCCATTATATCCATTATATAGTCCATTATATAGCATTACATACCATTATCAATTAACCATATAATAACCATTAATATTAACCATGGTTTTCTGGGGTAGGTCAACCACCAACCAGTATCCCATTAATCATTAATATCCCATCATATAGCCCATTATATAGTCCATTTTATAGTCCATTATATAGTCCATTATATCCATTATATAGTCCATTATATAGCATTATTTACCATTATAGTCCATTATATACCATGATATAGTCCATTATATACCATTATATAGTCCACTATATAGCATTACATAGCATTATATACCATTACATACCATTATTATCAACCAGAAAAACCATGGATTTTCCCATGGTCCCATGATAAATTTTCGTGATCCTCTGGCAGAAGTGAAGTGAAGTTTCTGCCAGGTTTCCGGTGGATTTCAAGTATCCTCTGAACATCATCGCGCTGATTTACGGGTCTCGTTATTTCCGGCGTTCCGTTGCGGGGTTGCGGGGCGGTGCCCGGCCGATCTCATTGAATTTCATACATGGAGGTTTTCTAAAATGAGGCAACTCCTGAATCATTCGTTCTAAATCGTTTTAGATTGGGATTTTCCATGAAATAAACCATCCAGCTATTGGGTACCCCCATTTATGGAAACCCCCATATGGGAATTGATGGAAAAGAAGATAAGTTCATAGTCCATCAATGTCTATCGTATGGGATTTGATGGAGAATCCCTAGGATACTCGATGGGATTAACTTAATAACAAACAAAAAAAGATGTGAATTCATGGGCGAAATCATGATGGTGTGTGGTGGGTGTGTAAAGGAACCATGGCTTGAGCCACACCTTCTGCGTATGGACATCAACATGTTGGAGAGAAAACGAATGGAAAACCGTGTCATTCTGGTTTAAAAGAATGTATGTTGTCATATTTTGTCAGATCATGTCAAGGACTTGGGGCCTTGGGGCATGTTTTTGTTGTACCCGGTACGTCATCGTGTGAGGTATTTGCCCTTTGTCATTCCATTGGTGCCGGGCACTCGGATCACTTGGATCTATGGATTTTTGAGTCCCGTTATTGGGGGCTGTTGATATTAATATCAACATTATTAAATTGTTATTGGTAATGATATCATATCATATCTAAGGTGATATATTACCTAAATATCAATAGACGTCACATTTATTTGGGGCATGGGATGAAACTCACCTCACCTGGTGATAGCAATGAGGTTTTTCATCGATATGGTCGTGGAGCGTCGTTTCATCGCCTTCTATGGTCTCGTCGGGGCCCTGAATGGAATTGCTGACAGGGACGAAAGCATGAGGTTTTGAAGTAGCTGATTTGATGTTGGCATCCCAAGGATTTGAGGATAATTTCCAATGGGTTTCCAATATGGATCAGACTGTTCCATAATCCTTGGGCCTTTTCTTCCGCACTCAACCTGAAGCCAAGGACTCTTTGTTGTTTCGAATCCAAGGGCTTTACGGCGTTCGCAACACTTGGTGGTTCACCCTAGTTAGTACACGTGGGTTAGCTCACCCCAGTCAAAAGTGGAGTCACTCTATTTAATGTCTAATGTCAACATCGTTTTAATAACCCATCCTCGAACATGAAGGGACCATTTTAAGGCCAGACAAAGCTCCGGGGTCCATGTCGTTTTTTTTCACATCTCAGTATTTCTGCGGCCAACCACCCAGGTTCACCATGGATTAATCAAGTGGTTCACCATGAAACAAACCATCTAAACAGGAATTAGCTGACCAGTCAAGGCTTCAAGGAAAATTCATTCAATTTACCTGTTGGAAGGAAGTACTGTGGATTCCATAATACTATATAAAACATCCATAAACCATATCCAACTATGAACCGCGTTTGTTTCCAAAGTAGGGGGCATATCCAACAAATCACGTTGGATAGTTCGTTTTGGTTTTGTGGATCCCACCTTTTTTCGTGGGTCGAGGATGTCAGGTTTGGGATTTCTTCCAATATAACAAGGAGCTTCCACCGCTGTTGTGTGCTCCAATAGTTCGCTGAGATGGGAAACTCATGGAAACTCCTAACGTTTGAAATTCCTAAGATATAACTGGTTGGTGGTTTGGAATTTTATGGGAAAACCATGGGAAAATGGTGATTTACATAGTAATTCTGTCTGGTTGGTGGTTTGGAACCATGGACTTTTATGACTTTCCCATCATATTGGGAATTTCATCATCCCAACTGACGATTCGTCCATCATTTTTCAGAGGGGTAGGGCTCAACCACCAACCAGTCATGGGACAGATGCAAGTTGTTGTGTTTTTTCCTTCCCCTCAGGCCGTCTCGGGTGTTGTGACTTTGATCAACGAGGCGATGGCTCGGTCGGTGGTCAGTTCCCCAAGTGACCATAGGTTTCAATAGAAAAAATCGCCTGACTTTGGATGATTTGGGGATAACCCAATTTTTGGAAACCTCCATATCTATTGGATGAATTTCATTGGGGGAGGTACCCTCTGGTAAACTAACATAACTATGGAAAATCACAACTTTTTAATGGGTAAATCCACTATAAATGGCAATTTTCAATAGCTATGTTAGTTTACCAGAGGGTACTCTAGATGTGAATGATCACTTGGACTTTCAAAATCCTTGAAATTGATATTTTCACAACCTGGAAACAGACATAAGCTACCAAAAATGGAGATAGCAAGCAGTAAAACTGGGCATGCCACTGTTGTTAGTAGATGTTTATAGTTTATAGAGATTAATAGAGATGGTTTAGCGGGAACAACTCAACATGGGCTTATTTCCCATTTGAGCATTGGTTATCTGCATCTACCAAAAATATCCAAAAGAGTGATATGATCAACCACTTGAAAATTGCCTAGACTAAATACTTTGCTACTCAAGTAGCTGCTACTCGAGATACCCTTCAGAAAATTCAATTTTCTGCTGGTTGGTCAATTTTCCATTTACGTCAAAAACATGAGCCAGAAATTTAGGAAACCAAAGCTTTCCTAAGCCACAAATCCCTGAAAGTTGATTTGTTTTAACACCCCAAAGTAGTGACAATTCCCAATTCATCCAGGGTAATGCATAGGTCGGCTGCAAATGCCTCAGCCAAACTGTTTGGGCCTTTTTGGGGTTCCCAAAGGCCCTAAGGTTGACCCCCGAAATAATGAAGCTGGGGAAACAGACTAGTTGGTGAATTTTGGTTGGATGTACCCTGGTTTCACAATCAAAACATGTGTATTTTTTTGGACAGAAGAATTCGGATTTGGTCACCAAAGAAGCTTGGGTATAGTTTAAGATGCGACTTGCTTGCCATAATTTTGGGGAATGTAGTACTCAAATACATTCTAATTTTCCTCAAGAGTCTCTAAGATTGGCCATGGAGATGGAGGGACTTGTTGTGACTGACAGGGGCAGCTTGATCTAAACACCAAAATGGTTGGTATCTAAGTGGATTGGTCAGGGCAACTCAGCGCTACTGTAAGATGTACGGTGTGTTTGGAAATATGTGTTTCTCTTTTAAACATATATTTAGTTTGTTTTGTTTTGTTTGTTCAAATGATGATAAAATGAAGCATGTTATTTATGATATATATATATACACATCTGTTGTATAATATATATATATATATACATGTTGTATATATATATACATTATATACTGTACATATATATATATATATTATATGTTACTCCCCCTCCTTTTACCGTAGCGCCAAGAAGAAATATTCTTTTTCTTCCACGTTAACTAAAGTGACAATTCGGAGGTTTACTTCCATGTTAGTTGCAATGGGGGGGGGTAAACTGCAAATTTGTGCTCTTTGGATCTGAGCCCTTTTTTTTTGGCTCTTTTTGCCACGAGTTCCCCGGGAATCCTGGGCATTTGTTGATGAACGTAGAAATTTTGATTTTTTCAAGATAAAGCTGGGAATGCCTCCATTTTTTAACAACCAACGATTGGAACGGATAACTTACATAGAAATTTGCTACTTGAAGTAGGATGTGGGCAGTGCCGTGTTAGCGAGCGCTCGGTCCTCCTTTTACCGTAGTGCCAAAAAAAAAACTTCCACGTTAACTAAAGTGACAATTCGGAGGTTTACTTCCATGTTAGTTGCAATGGGGGGGGGGTAAACTGCAAATTTGTGCTCTTTGGATCTGAGCCCTTTTTTTTGGCGAGTTCTTTTTGCCACGAGTTCCCCGGGAATCCTGGGCATTTGTTGATTAACGTAGAAATTTTGAACTTTTCAAGATAAAGCTGGGAATGCCTCCATTTTTTAACAACCAACGATTGGAACGGATAACTTACATAGAAATTTGCTACTTGAAGTAGGATGTGGGCAGTGCCATGCTAGCGAGCGCTCGGTCCTCCTTTTACCGTAGTGCAAAAAAAATCTTCCACGTTAACTAAAGTGACAATTCGGAGGTTTACAAGTTTACTTCCATGTTAGTTGCAATGGGGGGGGTAAACTGCAAATTTGTGTTCTTTGGATCTGAGCCCTTTTTTTTTGGGCTCTTTTTGCCACGAGTTCCCCGGGAATCCTGGGCATTTGTTGATTAACGTAGAAATTTTGATTTTTTCAAGATAAAGCTGGGAATGCCTCCATTTTTTAACAACCAACGATTGGAACGGATAACTTACATAGAAATTTGCTACTTGAAGTAGGATGTGGGCAGTGCCATGTTAGCGAGCACCAATTTGGCACCATTGATTTCCAAAAGGTTGCATCCTCAATCGCTCGGACATGACAGGGGTGAGAAGATAGATGCAATAGAAAAAATGATGTGGCGGTCAGTCTGGGGGTTTTAGGGATCGCCCTAGAAGGATGTATTCAACATGAGGGGAGAACATGTTAACATAGAAGTTGCCAACCTGATGTCTGGACCCTCAAGTTACTTCCACGTAAGGGTTTTTAGCCTCAGTTTTCACACTTCCATGATGAATATGTTACTGACATATTTGATGAGCTACTTCCATGTAAGAGATTCACGGTCAGTTTTTCTGCATCTGCTGGCCCGGTAGCCCAGTTTCACTTTTTCCCCAGGAATTGGACGTAAACGACTTCCATGTAAACCGACAGGTTTTTCCATCCTGACTTCCACGGTAAAAGGACCCGGTGTATGTGTATATATATATATATGTTATATGTTATGATATATATATATTCACATTATTCATTATTGTATAGTGGTCTCTTTATTTGTACTAGTTGTTTGTAATCAAACCTTTGACTGCTGGAAGAAAAAGCACATAGGAAAATCATGTGCAATTAGTCACTGTACCTATGATTCCCAGTTAGACCACCAGTTCTGTTGGCAAAAATCATGTATTTGTTGATATATCTCAGCCAAAACCTCATGTTGGCTGTGTTTTTTCTCAGATCCTATACCTTGCGATTAAAAAGATCACCACAACCATGTTTGAGGGTCCTTTCACCACAAGCCGATTTTCATCATGATGCTTGAAGCCCCGAAATCCTGAAGGTATTGAACCCAACATCATCCCAAAGTCGGAAGATAGATTTATACATCTGCAGCACGATTTCCGGAAACAACAAAACTGTGGAAACGGATTCATTGAAACCTGTCAATGGATTGGTGGGAAAATCGTAACCTGAAACCATATTTTTTCCCATCAAATATATGGGTTTTCTGCCATTTTTCCATTAAACCAATCCATTGATACTTGATGACTGGAAGACTTTGGACATTTGAGACATGTCAGGTCATCTTGAAGGAACTCTTGAAACAGCCACGCCCCTATGGTTCCGCCAACCGAAAGCAGGGCAGCCCCAGAAGGGCCTTGGACACCGGGACAACCTGGACATGGGAGAAATGTCTTGGATTTCCCAAGTTTGTGGCTGGTTTTTCTACACAGATGTTCGTTTTTTTTTTGGGTGGTTATAAATGTTATGAGTCATGAACTTCCTCACTTTCTTCAACTTGATTTGTTCACTTAGCGCGAGTTTCTTCAGGGAGTTTTCTGGGATATGACAGTTTCAAGATTTAGAACCCCCAAATCCCGTGCAAAAAAATAGATAGCAGTTGAGGGAAGCCAAGAATTGGTGATGTTCCACGCTTTCCATGTCATTATATGCGTTGTTCCATTGGAAAGCTTTGCGTTGAACATTGATCATTAGTGATATAGTGATGTTCATATATTAATCACAATTCAATCATGAATGATGGGGTGGATGCTATGATTGCTATGATTTTGGCTCGATGTCAGAATCTGTTTGATGTTGCTGGTTCCATTTTCGTCATTTTCCATCGTTTTCCATCTTGGAATGATCCAAAATTGGTGAAACAAACGCCATCACAGGCCATAAAAAGAATCACTTAGCACTGTGATGGGTGGAATATCATGGGTAAAACTTACTGTTTTTGTTTTTCTATAGTTTGGCATCGAAATGAGTATTCCAACCTTTTGGAATACCACAATGTTTATAGATTAATGCAAGGATTCAGAGATTTGACTAAGGCCATGCAACTAAAAGTTTGACCACTTCAAGAAATATGGAAAGCCAAACTGCGGCAAAGTTAATATTGGAAGAATTTTGTTCTGTTTGGTGATGGTGGTTTTAAAAGTATGTTTTGTTTCCACCCATTTGCATCTTCATTTGAGAGATGGTGATACTCTCTGGCATTCTGGCTCAAGTCGCTCTCCAATTGACATGTCAGAAAACTCTATCTGACATTGAATTTCCATATTATCACACATTTTCCATGTTCGTACGGCTTGAAATCGCCACTGTTCTGCTGTGGGTTGTTTCTGTCTCGGCTGTGGCTTTGCTGCAGCGACATTTGGAGATCGAAACTCCCCTGATGCGACGTCTGAAAGCTTCGCCCATGTTCTGGCTGCACATCCCAAAGTGCGGCACCAGCTTCGCCAATACAGTAATGCATATGCCGAACATGTGCCCGGGTTTGGGGGAGAATTTGAGTTTCTGGATGAATCTTCATGAAATTTTTTATTTCTGCATTTGGTTTCTAACTTATTTCTAACTACTTCTGCCTGTTCATTGCTGTAGCTAGATGTATGCCGGTATAGTCGGGTATAGTGGGATTCAAAACTCCCCAAAACAAGACCCAGTGGCTGAAGGATGATCCGATATGATCCGATGCTTCCAAGGTATCGATGATGAGCAGTTCGGAAAGTGCTTCGAGCGTACCCTGCAGAAGAACTGCCTGCAGTGGTGTGATCAGAGTCTTATTCATTGTAATTGGCCAATACAAGCTCATCAGTTTTTGTCAGATGAGAAGTACGAGGAATACAAGGGCAAATTTGTGGCACTTCTACGTCAACCCGAGCAGCGTTTGCTATCTGCCTACGCTGATGATGGTGACCTGTTCCGAGCAGAGCCCTATATCGGCATATGTGCTGAAAATCGCACACCTGAACGAATCCTGTCACTGGATGAGTTTAAATCCAAATGGGCTCACTGGGCGACAGGGCAGATCGTCGGCCATCTTCCAGCTACCTTAGCAGATGTCCCAGTGGCGCTGCAAAGATTGAGAGAAGGCTTTGCATTTGTAGGTTTGCAGGAAGAGTGGGACCTGTCTGTATGCCTCTTTCATACCAAATTTGGAGGGCCCTGCCGCAACTTGGAATTTCTGGATACACGGCCGAGTGACAGAGCCACCGGAAACACAAGCGAATACGATACTTCAATACTGGATGGGTGGGTGGATGAAATTGATGGTCCTGTCTATACAGAGGCCCAACGCTTGTTCTATGATGATTTGAAACGGTACGGTGTTTCGCATGAGACTTGCCAAGCATGTTATCAAGAAGCCAATGTGGCATGACATTCGTGGAATCTATCAACTGTGCCGTGAAAAATACTCAGATGAGTTGGGACAAGTGAAGACACCCGAGCAAGCAAAGCTGTATGAATTCGAATTGACAGCTGGTTTCAAAGCTATGTTTTCTCATACTTGTAGGGTCTGGTTATGCCATTCCAAGTTGCCTCTAATATTGAAGCCAGAGAAATCCAAATGATATATGTAGTTAGTCCACATACCGCCATCAAACATAGATAGATTTAGGCTCGGAAAGTCTGCACAGACTTAAATTCATGTAGATTGGATAGATATAGAATGTACGGATAGATGGATGGACAGATGGATAGACAGGTAGATAGGTTGGCCGCTGATCCAGAGGTCCGCAATGGTACCCCAAAAAGATCCAAAGGTCGTCTATTTGCGGTGAAAGTGGATCCGGTTGCCAACTTCGCCCAGTTTCAAAGTCAGTCATCCAATGAGGATGAAATTTGGGAATGGCAATGGCTCAACGAAAAAAGATTGGACCCGAAGAAATGAATGGGTTTCATTTACTAAGCACAACCAATTCCGTAGGTCCATTGGTACCCCATAAGTTGTTTATTGTTTTTGTGCACCCTTGGGCCATATTCCATCCAATTATTTTGCATGTTAATACATGTTAATACCACCACCATTTATAGCTACTTTCTCTGAATGAGATCTGCAGTTATCTACCCAGTTTGGCATCACAGGTTCAACGAAAAGACGAAGAAATGGGAGATGAAGCCGGGAATGCCTTCAGGGCACGTGCTGAATGCCACCACAACTATGGCCCCTTGGCCGCGAAGCGATTGGAAAGGGATGGGGAGCCCCTAAGACGGTTGAGTTGGTGAAACCATGCTTTGGTGATAGATATAGGGTTAGAAGAGGTTATAAACCAACCTACAACTGGGGGCACCACATAGGGTAGATTGGTTGCATCGTCAGTTCCCCTCTATTTTTGCTGGGTCTCTACAGGTCAGATCCACCAAATTTGATGATTTTCCCAGCCGTTCAAGCCTCCATTTGTATTGTCCAGCCATGTTTGAGTACCGGGTAGATCCATTCATATCCTCATGAGCCAACCTGGAACCGCTGAACGCGGCAGGTTTGGTGTTTGCTGGAGGCCGGTTTCTACGGCGATGTTGCTCAGTTGCTGGGATATAGCATGATTCCCTGCAACGTTGCGGATGTTTACATGTAAAAAGACACCTTGTTCAGAATTTGGCAATGTGTTTTACCATGTCTTTACCATGGTTTCACATGTGTTTTGATTATGTTCTTTCGTGTGTTGTTGTTTTGTTTTGTCCTATTCACATGACTTCAAATTGACCCATCACATCACATTCCAAGTTTGTAGCATGACCACCCTTTGTGAATCCGAGCTTCGAAATACAGATGTTGGTCTTCAGCATTCAGTCTTTTTCCTGGAAATGTTTTTTCCCGAGAGCGTCTGAGCGCAGGGTTCTTCCAATAGTGGGGGTCTGTAAAACATCTTCTCATCTTCACATCTCATCTTCACATCCTCTCATCTTCACATCCTCTCATCTTCACATCCTCTCATCTTCACATCTGCTCATCTTCACACCTTCCCATCTTCACACATCTTCTCATCTTCACATCTGCTCATCTTCTCATCTTCTCATCTTCACATCTTCTCATCTTCACATCTGTTCATCTTCACATCTGCTCATCTTCACATCTGCTCATCTTCACACCTTCTTTCACATCTGCTCATCTTCACATCTGCTTATCTTCACATCTTCTCTCACATCTGCTCATCTTCACATCTGCTCATCTTCACATCTGCTCATCTTCACACCTTCTCTCACATCTTCTCATCTTCATCTGCTCATCTTCACATCTGCTCATCTTCACATCTGCTCATCTTCACACCTTCTCTCACATCTTCTCATCTTCACATCTGCTCATCTTCACATCTTCTCTCACATCTCTCTCACATCTTCTCTCACATCTGCTCATCTTCACATCTTCTCTCACATCTTCTCTTAGATATTCTCTCACATCTTCTCTCACATCTGCTCATCTTCACATCTTCTCTCACATCTGCTCATCTTCACATCTGCTCATCTTCACATCTTCTCTCACATCTGCTCATCTTCACATCTGCTCATCTTCACACCTTCTCTCACATCTGCTCATCTTCACATCTGCTCATCTTCACATCTTCTCTCACATCTCTCTCCTTTTCTCTCTCTCGCCTTCTTTTTATCTTTCTCTCTTAAGGCCGAGGGTGGTGCCGGCGGCGAGTCACGAAACGCCAACCCTTTCGCACGAAATGAGGGTCGATCGGCAAAAACTGAGGTAAAATTGCGATTTGACTTGTCCCGGAGCAACCCTTTCGCACGAAATGAGGGTCGATCGGCAAAAACTGAGGTAAAAGTGCGATTTTACTTGTCCTGGAGCAACCCTTTCGGCCACGAAAATGAAAGGTCGAATCGGCAAAAAAACTGAAAGGTAAAATTTTGCGATTTGTTGCACCCTTGTCCCGGAGCCGGAAAACAGAACGCAACCCTTTCGCACGAAATGAGGGTCGATCGGCAAAAACTGAGGTAAAAGTGCGATTTTACTTGTCCTGGAGCAACCCTTTCGCACGAAATGAGGGTCGATCGGCAAAAACTGAGGTAAAAGTGCGATTTTACTTGTGCCGGAGCAACCCTTTCGCACGAAATGAAGGTCGATCGGCAAAAACTGAGGTAAAACTGCGATTTTAACCACACAAAAAAAAAAACAACTTGTGCCGTAAGCAAACCCTTGATCGTTCCCCGCACGAAAATGAGGGTCATCGGCAAAAAAAACTAAACTGTAGGTAAGTGTTCAAATTTTAACCTTGTGCGCCGTTCTTGTCCCGTGGTGTAAAAGCCCCTGTGTGTAAAGCCGTCTGTGTGGGTAAAAGTCCCCCCTCTGGTGTGTAAAAAGCGTCTGTGTGTAAAAGTCTCTGTGTGTAAAAGCGTCTGTGTGTCAAAGTGTCTGTGTGTCAAAGTGTCTGTGTGTAAAAGCGTCTGTGTGTAAAAGTGTTTGTGTGTAAAAGTCTCTGTGTGTAAAAGCGTCTGTGTGTCAAAGCGTCTGTGTGTCAAAGTGTCTGTGTGTAAAAGCGTCTGTGTGTAAAAGTGTTTGTGTGTAAAAGGGTTTGTGTTCAAGTGTTTCTGTGTAAAAGCCTCTGTGTGTAAATGTGTTTGTGTGTGAAAGCGTTTGCGTGTAAAAAGCGTCTGTGTGTAGAGGTTGTCTGTGTGTAAAAGCGTCGGTGTGTCAAAGCGTTTGTGTGTAAAAGCGTCTGTGTGTAAAAGTGTTTGTATGTAAAAGCTTCTGTGTGTAAAAGTGTTTGTGTCAAAGTGTTTGTGTAAAAGTGTTTGTGTAAAAGCCTCTGTGTGTACATGTGTTTGTGTGTAAAAGTGTCTGTGTGTAAACATGTCTGTGTGTAAAAAGCGTCTGTGTGTAAAAGCGTCTGTGTGTCAAAGGGTTTGTGTGTAAAAGCGTCTGTGCGTAAAAGTGTTTGTATGTAAAAGCTTCTGTGTGTAAAAGTGTTTGTGTTACAGTGTTTGTGTAAAAGCCTCTGTGTGTAAAAGCTTTTCGTTTAAAAGCGTCTGTGTGTAAAAAGCGTCTGTTTGTAAAAGTGTTTGCGATGCAAACTACTGTCTTGCACTTCTCACTGTCCTGTCTTGATACTCCTCTTCTCGACTGCCTATAACAGAGCTTTCATATATCGTTTCTAATATTGCGTCTCCATACTAACAAGAGAAGACCCTGCTCCCCCCTGAACTGGCCGAGCAAACATGACTGTAAGCATTTCCAGAGCTTCTTTTGGTGGCCGTGGTGCTCGTCTTTGGAGATTTTGGAGGCCTGCTGCATGTTGCCGTGTGGCAGTCATTCGATGTTTTGCAGCTAGCTTTTGGTAAAACCGCATGATTTTGCGAGTTTCAACTGCAAGCTTGTGTTCCGTTTGTTTGGTGAAAGCATGAAGCTGGTCGGCGCAGCTATTGGTTCGAGATTTGTATCGCGCTTGGCGTCTATAAGTTGTCACTCTGGGTTCGCTGCAACCGGATATGTCCGAGAAGGTCGGAGAGTTGCAACAAGGCTTGACAGAGGGAGGAGTTGATCCCTTCCGGCGCCAGGTGCGCAAACTTGGGATCAATGCATTGACGGCTTTAGCTTCTGAGCTGGGGATGTCGCTGTGTGGCATTCATTCGATGTTTTGCACCGCATGATTTTGCGCCAGGTGCGCAAACTTGGGATCAATGCATTGAAGGCTTTAGTTTCTGAGCTGGGGATGTCAGTGTGTGGCAGTCATTCGATGTTTTGCAGCTAGCTTTTGGTAACACTGCATGATTTTGCGCCAGGTGCGTAAACTTGGGATCAATGCATTGAAGGCTTTAGTTTCTGAGCTGGGGATGTCCGTGTGTGGCAGTCATTCGATGTTTTGCAGCTAGCTTTTGGTAACACCGCATGATTTTGCGCCAGGTGCGCAAACTTGGGATCAATGCATTGAAGGCTTTAGCTTCTGAGCTGGGGATGTCAGTGTGTGGCAGTCATTCGATGGTTTGCAGCTAGCTTTTTGGTGAAACCGCATGATTTTGCGCCAGGTGCGCAAACTTGGGATCAATGCATTGAAGGCTTTAGCTTCTGAGCTGGGGATGTCAGTGTGTGGTAAAGTCCCAAATTTCGAAAAAGTTTTGGTCAAGCTAGCTTTTGGTAAAACCGCATGATTTTGCGCCAGGTGGCAAACTTGGGATCAATGCATTGAAGGCTTTAGCTTCTGAGCTGAGGATGTCAGTGTGTGGCAGTCATTCGATGGTTTGCAGCTAGCTTTTGGTAAAACCGCATGATATTGCGCCAGGTGCACATACTTGGGATCAATGCATTGAAGGCTTTAGCTTCTGAGCTGGGGATGTCAGTGTGTGGCAGTCATTCGATGTTTTGCAGCTAGCTTTTGGTAAAACTGCATGATTTTGCGCCAGCTGCGCAAACTTGGGATCAATGCATTGAAG